TTTGGACCCACAGTGCATCGCAGAAGGATGCAGGGGTGTTGTCTGCGAGGACAATCGGGATTGGTAGGGCCGCATGTAAGTACAGAGCAACCCCACCAGCCCTCCCTCGTTTTGAGTCAGCTCGAAAAATAGAGTAACCGTCTATCGAGATCTCCGCGTCAGAGACATCTGGTGTGAGCCAGGTCTCTGTGAGTGCGATTATGGACGGTTTTTCAAGGCAAGCTGACTGTCTAACATCGCCGAGTTTGTTGAAAAGGCTGAGGCAGTTTGTGTACAAGCATTTCAACACTGCCTCTTCTTCCTCCGAGGGTGAGGAGCCGAAAGTTGAGTGACCAGGGTGGTTAAGAGACTTAATAGTTGTGCACCAGGTTTGAGTCTGAGTCCAAGGCTCCAAGGGGGCCTCTGCGGCGATGGCTGCTTCCGGCCATTGTGGTTTCTGGGGGTGCTTTTCGCCTGCGGGGTCTTTTTCGTTCCGTGAGAGCTCGGGTTGCTCGGGCTTTTTGGCTCTGGGGGACGGAGTTTTTTTCCCCTTGGGCGAAAATTTCGACCGTTGCTGTTTGTAGCTCTTTCAGCATCCCTTTTTCGTCGACCAGATTTGCTGCTGATCAAAGGTTTGCTGCAAGCTTTCGCCTTTCTGGATCCTTGGGCGTTTTGGAGTGGTTTAACCGGAAGAGTGTCTCTGCGAGGCCATGAGCGCTGGGTGGTGGCACCAAGAAGTAATGATTTTGGTGGCGCTCCCAAGAGGCTCGTTTTCGCGGAGGACTGCACCTTGAAGCCAGCCAGCAGTTTTCTAATATGGCGAGTTTTATATGGCTTTTTTGGCTGCAGTCGCTCTTCTTCCGTGTTTGTGTGCACACCCGATCCGCCAGCGATCAGCGTGGACAACTGGATGTACGAGGGATTTTCCGGATGGCTGTAGTCATGTTTGTGGCTTTGGGTGTCGGGGTACTGGGCGACAGTTGGGTCCACAAGCAGGGATGCAGCTTTTGACGGAGTGGAGCTAGAGATTGGCTTCGCTCCTTGTCCCCGCACATCTGACTCAGTCCAGTTCAGGGGCTGTGACTTTGTTGACGAGTGCGCGGCTGCAGCTGTGCCCTCTGATACGGAGATAAGCGTTGATAGCTCCACGTAGTTTGGGCGCTGCTTGCATGTGGGATTTGTCTCCTCCAGGGCGTCCCTGCCTTTGGTGGGCGAGAGGCCTGTGGTGGTCGAATAAAAACTGCTGTCCGGAGAACCAGCTGGTTTCATCGGCCTGCTTTCGGGAGCACAGGGGGATATGACCACAATCGGCTTGGTCATGAGTTTGGGGTCGTCTGGTTTAGTGCCCGGTGGAAGCCTGTTTCGTGCTTCCACTCCTGACCTGTTGTGACCAATCTTGCGCGCGTCTAGAGGACGATCCTCAGATAGGCGCCTGATCATTGGGTTGGCCTTTTGAATGCTGCCAGCCCGCTCCAAGATTGCCTGTACGTCGGACGGGGAAGAAAGAGTAACTAGAAGTCCAAGGGTTCGCTTACTTCCCTTTTGGCGTAGCCATTCTGCGTGGAGCGATTGATCAGGCTTGCTGAGGATCGACTGTGCCAGCTTCGCTGGCGTGATTTTTCCGGAGAACGACCCCCAGATTATCAGCCTGTTTTCCCTTAGGCGTCTGTCCACTAGCGACGCTGTGGCGGTTTTTATAGCCGCGTCAGAAAGTTGTATGACTTTCTTCGCAGCCATGGGACCCGGTATGGACATCGCGAGGTATTGGTTCAGCGAGGAAAGTTCCTTGTCGACTTTCGCCCAGGTCGCTGCATTCTTGGCGCCTGAGTCCTCCAATGCCTTCGAAAGACGCTCTAATTTCGCGTCGAGTATCCCGATTAAAGCGGAACACTGGCAGTGGTCTTTCGGCATCTGCACTGGGGATTGGGTACCGTTTCGGGGGACTCTTCTCTTCGCTGCGGTATGCATTGCACCCTTGACGTAGAGGCAGCTGGCACAGACAAACGGGTCAAGAGAGTTGGCTACTTATCTTATCTGGTCGTCATGTAAGCCCGTGCGTTTGAAATGCCATCAGGCCTTGCAGGCGTGACATTGCATACCGTGTTTGACGCGGGGGGCGGAAAACGAAACCGATTTCGAAAGTACCGCGCCAAACCTTTCATAATTACTCACAGTACATTAGGTGCATCGGAAGTCCAGCGTTAAAAGCTTATATCAGTGTCACAGATTTACTCGTCTTTGCAATAAATCGCATATTAACTAATGTGTCCTCTTGTAATAGATCCTTTTCGTACACTTCCTGTGGATGCCGATGGCCCCCTGACTTTATTCAAATTACAACTACCTGCTGAATACCTAACTGCTCTGACTGTGCTGCATTATCGGCCCGGCTTCCGCTCTATCCGGTGAAATATCTGGTTATTGGAGCCTGTTGTTGGATAAACTGGTAGTAATTAGGTGTCATGCCATCATTCTGATCTCTCACCATGCTTGGATATAGTAGGTTTACTTGGTGTTAGGATGCCCTCATCTGTGAGTGTCGCCCCACTGTGTTGCGCCCAGGTGCACACGCTAGCACACATTCCATCAGCAACAAAAAATGTTTACTTTCCAACTTGTAGGGAACATGATCACACAGGAATAGGCAATTCGTCAAGTAAACGCGGCAGGCAAAAAAATAACGGGGGGGGGAGGTTCAGAAATCAAGACATGCTAATTATGTGGGAAGCCATCGTAAGCGTGGAAAAAAAGCTAAAACAGTACGGTATGGCCTATGACTGGTCTAATGATGAAACCGGTTAACTTAAAACGAAGCTGAAAAACCTCTGCTGGCGTTGAAGAAACCTGAGAGGTTGAGTAAGTCACCATGGTCACAAAAAGTTAAAGTAGAGTTGCAGGTGGAAAAATCCACAGTGGATACAAGTGACATGTTTCGTCTCAGAAATATGGTTTACTCTGAAACTAAGTAGACTCAGTAGCGTCGCTGTTGTTAGGGAAGCAGTGCATGGAATAATTCGGATGAGCAATTTGTGCTAGTGCAAAGTGCTGGACGAACAACGTAAGTAATATTGTCAGACTCACGAAAAAAGCAAGCTGGAGATGCGGCAGGAAATTTGGATGGCTAAATAGGAACGAAAGACTTGGTGGGTTAGAAGGAACACATGTCAGGGGCAGTTGAAGCTAGGTAACCAACTACTTCCCAGCGGTATCAAAGGCGCGACTCAGAGGTGACAGTCGAATGCAGGAAGAAAATAGTTGCGAGCGATCCATCAGACTGAATACGGCAGTGCCATGTCATCATTGCATGGGCATTTCTCGGCTTCTGAAAAGCCCCAGATTGGTCGTTGAGGTTGCGGCATTCAGATAAATGATTTGCGCCCCTTAAAGGTTGGCTAGGCGAGAGGATTGACATGGGTAGAGTAAGGCCGACGTAGAGTCACAGGTAATTTCGATTCGGCTGAAGGACAATGTGGGTGCAGGCCGGGGACCAGTCACAATGAATGGGAAATGAAAGTAGTAAGGCCTGTTAAGTTGGAGGAGGCATGAGATACGGTGAAGTCCAGTAGTGGAATGAAAAAACCTGAAGTTTGCACCACAAGGGTGTGGAAAGTGGTTAAATGTGATAGATTAGGGGATCAATTGGTGCATACTAGCCCTGCAGCTGAGGAATTGCTAAGCTTGCAAACATAAAGCAAATATAACACACGAGGCATAACTACAAAGCAGTCCAAGCATGCAGAGGTATTTTGATAAATGACAGCAAACACATGAGGAATGATGGGTATAGAACTGAACTAACGTATCTGGAATTTACTAGGTCAGTTAGACAGTGCCAAAACTTAGGACGGATGATGAATGTACGAGAAAAGACCACAACCCGGACACTGCAATCAGCTTCAATCAACAAGTGGAAGATGGCAAAAAAGCCTACACACGCGAGCATTAGAAGCAATTGGTGGAAATTACAGACTTTCTTATGTATTTAATGTAAAATTATTGCACGCGTCTACTCTGATGAGCAGCACACAGGAGGGTGTTATGTCTGTCTGAAGAAGTGGACTGTTGTATCTGCTGATCCGCCACTCTGTTATATCCGGCTGCTGGCTAGCTCCAGTGCCCAATGCAGGAAAAAGACTCACAGAAGGAAACACAACAGCTATATTCCGAAAAAGCGGGTGCGAGAGCATGAGTGCGTGCTAGTGCAAATGTACAACAGTTTCAAGCTATTAATTGGAAGGACACTGTCTAACATGGTCCAATACTGACGCACGCAGTTTGGCTTTGGTACGAGGCTGCAATGTGCTGCATATTGTGGGGATGTTTTCTGACCGTGACCGACGCTGACTCGCGCTGTCTGGGTTTGATGCAAGACTGTGAAGCGTTGCATGTTAACGGGGCGTTGTCGGTCCGGTCAACATCGTGCGGAGCTGAAAGTCTCAGTAGATTTCTGTCACATTTAGTTGTTGCTCTCGAGAATGTAGCCTTCCTGATACGGGCTTTGATACGGTGCACCATCTTTGGATGTAGTTTGTGAACATCACAGGGTAACATAGTGACATCACATGTACATAACTTAGAGACAAAAGGCCGGTTTCCAATTATCTGTGATATAAGTGAGAAATGTCCAGACCAGCGGCTACGGACTAAAGACAAAAGTGCTTCCCCATGGATTTCCGGAAATAAAGGCCAGACTCGGAACCACCGGCGTTAGGTAATGCACCCGTGTTACTGGAGGGGTGGCGCGCATACGAAAGAAACGTGGTGCAGCGTAGCAGGCGAGCCACCCTCAGGGTGTACCCAACGAGCCTCCCTCCTGCGTATTACCAGATCTGCTGTGTGGACAACCAGTAGGAAGTCACAAGTTCTTTGGGAAAGTAAGTTGGCGCTGACACAAGACGGGACGCGGAATGTACGGAAAATTGCTGAATTCGTGGAGCGCATAGTCCGAAATTCCACCCAGATGGTTAAATCCAAACGAATCATACGGCGGATTTGAATGAGCCAGTTCCCGGAGGCGGCTGGGGCCTAGTAAAGTGTCCGTTCGTATTTGCAGGTACACGAGTGTGCTAGTGTATACAGTAAACAGTAGGAAGGAAATAGTTGCGCGTGTTATCAAACTGGGTATCACAATGCCATCATTGCGCTTACACACTTGGGTTCCTGGACGCAATGTTTGAGGTGATTGGAGTTGGATGTGCCATTCTGTGAGAAACGGGCCATTTTTGGTTGACCAAGGGAACCCGCAGAGGTGGAACGAACCCGATGTTAGATCGTAAGTATTTTTCATACCCGTTTGGGAATCCATATAGATGTGAACCACAGACCAGTTTGAGTGCATAACAACGAAACAGGACGTTCAGAGAAGGCATTACCGAGGGTCCAACCTTGGGGTGACAGGGAAATGGGATGAGATCAGCAAAGCTCGGTAAGTTTGAGGAGGCATCAGATAAAACTTTGTCCATTGATAGAGAGCCACGTATAACTATGACCAACTACTTTTAATAAAGATTAAAACTCCAAGGGAGGAATGCACAAAGTGTTCCTCAGTAGGCATTGATAAGTTCCTCTAATTATGGATCAAAATATATTCTACCACCACCTCAAGAGAATACTTTCTTATGTTCACCAGAAAAAACTGGTAAAGATCTATACCGTACTGGAAAACATACACTGGAAGCATATTTAGTCGATAAAAACGAATATGCGGTAAGTAAATGTTGTCATTTTTAACGGGTAGGAGGGTGCTCAGTTTAGTTGTATGGCTTTTTAGTAGTAGGGTGGCACTGGCTAGCCTTACTTTGCTTACCTGGTATTAGTTTGGTGCTATGAAAAACAACCGGCGGTCAACAAAATTCCTAAAAGATGTTCAACACTATCAATGATCATTTCCCCCAGAGAGAACATAATAGCAAGATAAGTCATCAACTGGCTAAGTAGCCGGATTGTTGCATCGAATTCACCCGGGCCATTTGTCGGGCAGGTGGTAGGTTATTTTCATAATTTTGTTCATGTAAGGACGCAGCCACACCTCCTTGATGCATAAGCGGATGATTACGTACTGCTGTGCCTATTTTCATCCTTGTATTTACATGTGCCGCGTTTGATGAGCGACTGCTTAGTTTATTTATATACAAACCCTAGCGAAAGTTCCATTTAAAAGTACTGGGACCCGAAATGGTGCACTTGCCAGTAACCACATCGGAATATCTTTGAGAAGGCAACGGTCTAATGAAGACCGCTTGTGGATGAAACTCACCATCAACGTTTGCCATCTTTACCAGAACTTATTTTTCCGGAGTATCTAGAGATGGGAATGGGGAGCTCATGTACGACGACCGGGACGAAGTGGTGCACTGATCAACACATGCAAAAACCTACAACCTTAATCTCACGTTGGGCATGTAACGTATATTAATTTATTTTTCTTACGTTCGCTCACTGTTTTTTTCTGCAAAGTGGAATATGTTCCTTTCATAGTGAAAAGTTGGGGTGCATACGTTATCAGCTGCAACTTATCAGAGGTAGTCAAATCATCACCATTTAGCTGATGCACAACATTGATCGATTAGCAGGCTTTCACCCTCGCCTGAACATCACCTAGCAAAACCAGAACCGGATTAGGCCGTCTGATGTAATTACTGACAACATTTTGGAGCTAGATTCTGATACACTGTTCACACCGACAATGCCCACGTGTATTCTAACAAGCTGTCTCTAGGCTAAGTGCTAAGCTTTGCGATCAGCGCAGCTACCGCCTGATCAAAAGCCAACCACAAAACAGACTATCCATCTCGCAACAAGAATATCCATAAACCAAATCTTCAAAGAATGCTCCAAAGCCCGACTCACGCTGCATTAGCAACAGGTTCTCCTGAGGAGAGTTGCTACAACCGGGAGGACATAACCGCGGTTACATACCGCGAAAAGCTGCGTGTGTTGGTCCCTGAACGTGCATCGGCAGAGGCTTGCTACAGACAAATATTTCACGAAAATGAGATTAGTGCAGTCGTTCAAATTCGGAAATTGTGTTTAATCCTGATCAAATAGGAAAACATGGATTACCTCCATCTGCACGTCAACTGGCCACTTACCTCTGTGTTAGCCCATTTCGCTATGTCCACTCTCATTGAGCCTTGGATTGTAAACCTGGATGCTCCTGGTCCGCATATTCCTGACTTATCACGATACACTAACGCGCTGCTTGGAGACGTTGACTTGTTCTCTTTGTTCGTCAGTGACAGGGGCCCTAAAACTCAGGTTCAGAATATTGTTCGACAAATTTGCCTGGCCCGAGCCAAACGGTTGGCCTTGTTATCTACCGTTTGGTAGTTGGCACAAACGACCCCAAACCAAAATACGTGCGGTGGTCTGGTGTTCTAGTTATCGCTTCTGACTTTCAAATTTAGAATTACTTCGAACCCATGGGCCAGCTGTACCATTTTTAGATTGCCGGTGATATAGCCTGAGTTCTGGTTAACTTATTACAAAATCTAAAAACCTGAGTGGTTTTGCATGGAGGAATTTATTGTGTACACCAAATCACGAGTATTATTTGTCCAATTCAAAACATGTAGCGAAATGAGCAAATTTCATTAGAGCTAAAGGTTGCCACTTGATTACGATTGGAGTTCACACCTTTGGTCGTGAAATAGTAATCCAGCCGAAATCCATGAACGCGTCAACCCTCCAATACGGAGGAAGAAGACTATCAGCGAATATACACTCATTTGCAAACTAATCTGGCTTTATGAGAGACACACCTGGAACACAGCTGAATCTCTCGTTTGTGATGTTTGCAGGCAACTGAATGTGCTGCATCAGGCAGTCTCATTTTTCAGTCGCTACGATATTCGAGATATCGCGATACGTGTATATCTTTGAAATGTGCTACTTATAAGGTTGCTGAAAATCCGTCGACAGCCCATGATTGGTTTCGCCCATTTTGAGGCTCATCAGGTAGACGCAGTCCCCGGGTTTTCGTCATCATTATGAGTAGTACATTACGAAGATATACATGTATCGCGATATCTCGAACATCGTAGCGACTGAAATATGAGGCGGCCTGGTGCATCACCTTCAATTGCCTGAAAATATCACAAACGAGAGATTCAGCTGGGTTCAAGGTGGTTCTCTCGAAAAGTCGAATTAGTTTGCAAATGAGTGTATATTCGCTGACAACAACGATACTTTAGCATGAACGATTGATACTGTTGGAAAAACTGACTATTCATCCAAGATTTTATAATGCAAAGTTTCAAGTAGAACCTAAGTTTGACGGAAACATTAGACTGGCCTACCTGATGAGCCTCAAGAAGGATGAAACCGGTCGTGGGCCGTCGACGGACTTTCAGAAACCTTATGAGTAGTATATTAAAAATATTTATCGTTGTTATTATTCACATATATTTGAAAGGGACTTTAGAACGCTTCGCACGATCCGTTCTACAAGGATTGCTTCACCGGATTCAGCTGTGTATGCTTTCAAGATCAGCCATTTTGAGGGGATACTTGGAAGAAACCAACTCTAAGTTGGTTGGATTAGATTTTTGAACACGCAATTACCCCTCGCTTACACCCCGAAATTGCTACAGATTTCCATGACATTTTCCCGCAGTTCGAACTTTTGCTAGAATGTTCACCCTTCGGGTCATAACTTATGCACTTTTGTTTTACGACACACCAGTAATAAGGTCGCTACACCGGAGAACTGGTGCGCGAAATGTTGGGTAACGTTGGATGGTACCACGAATGTGGCATGCGATTCATTCACAAGCCATCGTTCTTATTGGTTAGTTTTGTGCAGGCCAGAAAGCCCGCGCTTCCAAACCGCACTTGTGAGTAAGCCAATAAAAATGAGTTAAATGGTTACAGCGCATAAGCATGGGAAACATGGACTGTCGGTGCAAGCTAGAAAATAGCATGAAAAAATCGTAAGAATTTACTCCAAGAGATCTTTGCTTCTCCACGTGAAATATATAGAATTTGACGTTTGTAAAACGAATAGCCAACCCTAATATCATAAAACGTATCCATGTAACTTAAAATGCCATCCACTGACCTTCCGTTCTTTAAAAGCGTGTTTCTGACTATCCACATTACTTCTTTGAATAAAAGTTCGGCAAAAATTAGACATTTGTGTTTTCGGGAATGTCGATTCAAACTTAACTGTAGTCTTGGATACTTATGTATATTCATGACTTTTTGCGCTCAGAACGATAAGTAGCCTTCATCTTAGTTAATCGTATTTCATGCCGCACAAGACTGTCTGAAAAAACAGTAATGTCCTGTGAAGAAGCGTGCTGACTGGGAGTCAAGAGCAAACCGGGCTACGCCGCCCGGATTTGAACCGCGGACCTGCAGGCCCTCGCGCAGAAGCTTGCCCCATTTTGTCATCGAGCCACGGGAAGCTGTTGGTGCCAAACTCTGCTAAGCAGCTAGGCCACATATAGATAAGTCGTATGTTATGTTATGGATCACGTGACTCGGACCGGCCAACCATTTGCTTCAGTTTGGCTTGTGGATCAACCGAATTCCCACAAGTTGGACACGGCAGGGTCGCAAGACCTTCCTCACGAGACACACAATATGTTTCGCTTCGTTGCAAAGAGTTTGATGCAAATTGCTGATGACTGTTTGGTGAAGAAACAATGTTGGCAGGTTGCTTCGGACGAAAATCCGAGAAGCTGTTATTCACCGGAAGGCGCAAAAATTGATGGGTCCATTGGAAAGTCTGCCTCCATTTTAATGGCGTATGAACCGAAATTCAGCCGCTGGCTTCCTAAGGACTTTGGATACCCTGTACTTTACGTTACATTCTTAACCACTGGTTAATATAATTACAACTCAAATATCCAGTCCGGTCCAGTCAGCCAAACAGTTGCTCGCCAGTGAAAATAAATCATCATCCACGTCCTTTGCGACAACCCACCTTCGCCGCTGTACTAGGGAACCGATTATGCAACCGGTCTCTGATTGCGGCATATCTTCCAACTTTCCGGTACTATGCCTTTATTCTTCACAAATGTGCTGCCACTCGCCGAACCTGTGTTTTAAGAAAGACGTGCCGAAGGCTCTTTCGAACTCTACAAAACAACAGTTTCTCTAAGGTGAAATCACTTCAACAACCCCTCGAGATTGATAAAACATCGTTGTAAGGGTGGAGCCCGCTGACACTACTGTTCGTGATTCAGAGTGGGTCCTGGACTTCCGATTGACCTGACTAGGCGTCAGCAGACCGAAGATCCTTACACCCGTGCTTCTTTCAGGTTGCAGAATTCATTTTTTTTAAATGCTACGCTCCGATAAACATCGTTTCTTTCAAAACGGACAGTATTTGCTTATTGCCAAGACAATTTCAAAACGAGCCTTCGTGTTTTGCTGGTTCTGCCGGAATTAAATTGACTATTAGATTACAGATTTCAATCTACATTCATTGTTTCTACTGCCTAACATGCATATACCTATCTAGAAACTCCAAGCCAATGGCACATGGACAGTCGGGATGTTTGGTCGTACACACTCCTTCGGTGAAGTTCACTTAGTTAAAAAGGAATAGGGAGGAATTGTAGATCGTGTCTTGTTAAACTCAAGTGTATATTAATGGTTTCTCCAAGCCCCAATTCACATCCGCCCAGACTTTAGGATGATGAGCACAACCACCAACCCATCTTTGCGCTCCACGGGGGACTGGGAGTAGGCTGGGGATTTCAACTCTGATGATGGTGAAAAGAAAGAAATCGGCTTGCGCAAATGGATGGAAAAACCAAGGTACACCCTTGGATGCCACATATTACTGGACCAGCTTGTCACGAACTTGATCTGAATGCCTCTCGGTTGGCCAAGGATTAAAGCACTCAAATTGTTAGGCGTGAACTTAATGGATGCAAGTCATGATATTGATATTTAGCTGGGGTTCCGAGCGGTGATTTTGCAGGCGTTTTATAGATCTGCGTTCGGAAGAAGAATTATTCTGCCCGCCACAAAGTTCAGGGAGAGTGTTCGCCGAAATGACACTTGGCACGCCCACTCTAATAACCGGCTATGAGCAAGCATACAACACTTTGTGATTCTCAAAGTCAAGATGTGTGCCGAATCAGAATCTCCTTGGAGGAGACTATTTGCTTCCGGTCATACCATGATTTATCTACCTTTGGGTATTCAAAAGCAACCAGAAAAGAGGTTGACAACGGTTGTTTATCTCTCCCGCCTTTCATGGTGGTTTTCCAGCGCACTAATTTCGAAGGAATAACAGATACATGAGCGAAACGGTTTTCTGGCCTTTATGTTTGATCTAATTGATTTTACCCCACTGCATTCAACAGATAAGAATTTCGCCTGAAACAAGGAAACAAGGCACCCACTTTGAGCAAGAGTAGGCCTATTCTGAGCGGCAAACTCAAACTTGGAATTTCCCGAAGGTTTGTAGGGCGCAAAAACAAAAAGCATGGTGACCACCATCTATCCCTTTAAATGTGTCCCAAGAGTGCTTTATCTCAGCCTCTGACGCTACAGTCAAGGGTGTTACGATCTCACTGGTGGTCAGAGGGGTGAGGGAGCCCACTGTGATCGTTGGAGGCTCTATTTCTGAAAGGACCATGCCGGGATAACAAGACACAGTGCCCTTTGTCCTTACAAAAGTTTAATTGAAAGCGGTCTTGCAGGATAGATACGTTGAAAAGAAAGACGAAAGCCTTTTGGACCCTCAGTTACCTAACCTTTGCAAATTCAGGACGTAGAAAGTCGTAATGGCCCTTGAGCTTCCAAGAGCGTCTCCAGTGTCCAAAAGTATATCCGAGGTCTACTCTTGAATGCGCAAAAGATGGGTCGCGTCAGTCTCAAAGAAGCACAAAACAGGCCTGCCATCACGATAAAAAGCCGGTCTTCCTAACAGCGATTGTGGATTCTTTTTCCGTTATAGGGACACTGGCTAATACAGACGTGACCCCAAATGGCAGTCCACTCGACTATGGTAGACACAGTGTGTGTCACAGCAGTGACACTGCTAACGAAAACCAAGGAACTGGGAGGAACAAAAATGGCAGGGCTTACTGGGACTTAATTTTGAGGGATGTGGAATGCTAAGCAGCAAAACCACCACCTACGTAGCAAGTTTTGAAATGATTTGGTGAGGTTGCTCATGAAACCGCTGATCGATCGACGATGACAGGAACCGAGATCTTGCTGAGAAAGAGTCTTCAGTGCACAGGATTTCACTTGGCGACGACGGATGAAGGTGGTCACGGTTGCAGTGAGATCTATGTGGCTTACTGTTTAGGGTCCTCATAGCTCTCCCAGAACGAATATGAGAGCTGTACAGGCTACGGTACGCA